GTCATGGTTTTTTTTTTTTTTGTGATTTTTTTTAGTTTTGTTTCTTTCCATTTATTAAATTTAAATTAGAAACGAGATTGTTTTACATGTCAATCCCAGTTCCCTCTCCCTCCTCTCCTCCCCTGTCCCCCACTAACTCCCTATCCCATACCCTTTCTGCTCTCCAGGGAGGGTGAGGCCTTCCATGGGGGATCTTCAAAAAAAAAATCTGTCATATCATTTGGAGCAGGGCCTAGGGCCTCCCCCAAGTGTCTAGGCTGAGAGATTATCCCTCTATGAGGAGTGGGCTCGCAAAGTCCATTTGTGTACTAGGGATAAATACTGATTCACTACCAGAGGTCCCATAGATTGCCCAGGCCTAACTGAAACCCACGTTCAGGGGGTCTGATACAGTTCTATGCTGGTTTCCCAGCTATCAGTCTGGGGTCCATGAGCTCCCCTTTGTTCAGGTCAGCTGTTTCTGTGGGTTTCACCAGCCTGGTCTTGATCCCCAGAATAGTCACGCTCTTAAACTGGATTATACATTAGATTAAGGGAATGCTATATCTGCTTTGATCTTGTAACCAGACCCATTTCAGCCAACAACGTTTGGCTTAGTTCTTCTTTCTCTACTCCCTTAAAAAAACAAAACAAAATGTGTGTGTGTGTGTGTGTGTGTGTGTGCTTCCATGTGTGTGCATCTGCATGTGAGTGCATCTGCATGTGTGTAGTTGGATCTTTCTCCTTGGTGGATTCTGGGGATCAGATTCAAGTAGGTTATGAGTTTCAGAAGGAAGTACCTTTACTCACTGAATCATCTCGCTAGCCCTGGCTTAGTTCTTCTTTTGACATACTTTCTTCACTGAAGTTAATATATCCTTGCTTTTGATTTAAAGGATGAGGCAAAAGACTCTTCCTTTCACTTCAGTTAGCACTTAAGAGGCCACTGTATGGTTGTTAGTTGGTTTAATTTCAATATGGCATGTCAGGATAGGAAGGTCTAAAGAGAGGGAGAAAGACTGGGCAACAGTCAGGGAACAGTCAAAAATACATTCATAGGTTAAGTTTGCAGTATTTTATGGGTATAGTAGGAAGTCCCAAAACAATCATTATGTGATCAAAATGATACAGTGGTGAGTACAGTTTGAAATACAGTAAGAAATATGAAAGTGTGACAGCTATGAAGTCCTTTGGAAAAACAGTGTTGTCCATAGTCATGTGTAGGGAGACACTGTAACCATGCCTCCTAAGGGTGTTCCCGACCATACCCATCAGGGCGTGGTCAAGGTGATGTCAGGGTGACAATGGAAGAAGTTTTAAAGAGTTAGGAAAGGTACATGGTAGACTCTCTCTCTTTTCCCTTCTGCTTCAGCTTGTTCTGCTTTCCTGCCAGTTGGCTAGGGAACTCAGTAAGGCATTTTACCTAAATAAAATATCCTAACCATTACCTGATTATGTATTGGTAATTAACATTTAAAGTCATACCTGACCACAGTTGCCACAAACCTTCAGTTTGTAAAACATCCCAAATTAAAATTATCCTCAGAGCACAATAAAGTGATATATGCCTTTACAATTTTTCCTTATAACATTCCATTAACTACTATTAAGGGCATTTTATTTAACATATATTATTTAACTTCTAATGTACTGCTCTGAGGAATGATTATTCAGTTTGATCTTTCTCTAATAACTTAAAGTGATACTATATACGGGGCATTGACATACCTCTTCACAAATAATTTCTTGTAAACTTGCTTGATTTTTTTTTTTTTAACTGGCTGTGGTCCTCTGTCACAAGACATTCAAATCTCCCTCCCTCCCTTCCACTCTCCTGGTTTCTCTGAGTAGCTCTGGCAGTCCTGGAACTTACTTTGTAGACCTGCTGGCCTCAAACTTGGACATCTGCCTGCCTCTGCCTCCTAACTCGTGGGATTAAAGGCATGCACCATGACCTGGCTAAATTTCTTGTTTTGTAAAATATGTATGCCTTCTAATCCTGTTAATAATACCATTTCCACTTTAAAGCTATACAAAGTATTTCCTGAAATGTCTTTATATTGTTTCAGTTAATGAGATCCATTTAAACATTTTTGCTGTTAAAAACAAAATAAAACTCATTTTTAACTTTAATTTTAAAGAAGAGTAGATAAGAGTAGAGTTAAATGCTTAATTAGTTTATGCCCAATTCCCTTATAAAGTTCTGGTAAGCACAACAGCAAATTTCTTCCTTTTCTAAAAGCAAAGAGTGGAAGCAAAGGTGTGTGCGTGGTGGGGGGTGGGGTGGGGGGGGTGGCGTGGAATGATGAGAAATCCTGTAGAGCTTGAGACCTGCCATGTCAAAACATTTCTAACAATGTTGGTATATGAGGGCTATTGCTGGGGCCATGGTGACATCCGGATGCCAGCTGCTGCCAAGGACCATGTCTGGGTCCTCTGAGGTCCTACTGCAACCAGGGTATGTGTTGATGTCTGTGGCCTGGGTTGCTACCAAAGGCCACATGGATGCCTAGGGTCTGGTTGGTCACCTGGGGCCATGCTGGTGTCTGAGGGATGTACTACCACCAGGGCCATGCTGATCTGAGTGGCCACCCAGTGCCATGGTGATGATGGAGACTGAGCTGC